CTTTTAGAAAATCAATTATTGGCTTCAAATCTTGGTCTTGCTCCTGTTTTGCTTTAATATCTATACCTAATCCCATTTCACCATTCTGAACTCCTTCAGTCACTTTGACTTCAGCTTCATGGCACCTGGTTAGTTCAACCTCTCTTTTGCAGCAATGTTTACAGTCATTTTTGCAAGGTTTTCAGCTCAGTCCATCGACATTTTCATGAGATTTTCCTTCTCTGTATTCAATATCATAATTATACTGGTCTCTCTTTTTCTGATCCAACGTGCCAGTTGTCCCTCTGGTTTATTTAATGATTTTAACCAGTATAATGCAGCATGGTCTGTCCTGATGGTAAAGCTAGCCCCATAGAGGTGAGGAGGGAAATATGTCAGATTCATTACTCTAGCAAGGAGTTCTCTCCATATTACACAGTAGTTCCTCTCAGTCTACTCAGGACCCTACTGGAGTAGGCCATCACATGTTCATTTTCGCCCATCTGAGACAACACTCCTCCAATTCCGACATTACTAGCATCACAATCCAGTATGTATGGCAGTGAGGGATCTGGAAACTTTAAAAGTGGAGCAGAGGCAAGTTTTTTTTTCAATGTCTTGAAAGAATGCTGGCAAGAAACCGTCCATTCAAACTTCTGGCCTTTTTTAGTCAAATCATGTAGTGGAGCAGCTATAGTTGCAAAGTCCTTCACAAACTTCTGGTAATAGGCACAGAGTCCCAAGAAACTTCTTAACTCTTCCACATTGTCTGGTGTTGGCCAATCATGCACTGCTTTCACCTTGTCAGGATCAGTTTGCACACCATGCTCACTTGCAATGTGACCCAAGTAAAGCGCCTCTTTCTGGAATGTGACTGCATCAGGGTTTAGCTGCGGGGCCTGGAAAGGGCTTTCTGTTGTCTGGGGCTGATTAGATCCATGGCTAATATATCCTCCTTGTGTAAAAGACAGTAAATCATCCTGTAATGTGTTTAATTCATTTTGAAATTGACTGATCTTTTCCATTTGTGTATGCTGGCTTTCTCTCAACTGTTGGAAACTTTCTTCTTTTCTCGTTTCTTTCTTTTTCCTCCAACAACTGCTGTATCTCTGTTCTTGTTTCTTTTGCTGTTCTTGTATTGCTGCCA